TGCCCACTCATGTAGCCATGAGTTACCACGTTCTTTTCATTTCTCAGTATCCTGCAATGTTGCCTTTCACTATAATAGAATGCAGTCTGCCTGTCCTGGTGTGACATTCAAGGCTTTTCACATTCTGGTCCCAACTTCTCTTCCAGCTTCGCGCCTTCCTATCCCTCCACTGCCCTCATTGTCAAACACTGCATGCACTGGTCACATCCTACCTCCTCTTGCAGAAACACTTCTTACTGTTTGAGATGCCCAGTCCTCTGCTCCTGTTGACCCCTCTGCCTGGGACACTCCTTGTTTTGGGCCCTGAATGCACACTTCCTTGACTTGTGCTTCCTGAAGCCCTGATCCACCCTGGAGTCCCCATCCTTGGGCCAGCTGTCCCCTGAAGACTTCCCACATCTCCAGTCAAATCAACTCCCTTTCTTCTTGGGCTTTGCATGGAATGTTTGCATCTCTTTTGAGGCTTTGCAATGCTCTTGGTGTCATGCTTACCACCTTCTTTTGACTCACTGCCAGAGGGTGAACCCCCTGTCATTACCATGGCATCTGATACCCAGCAGGAACTCAGAAGGCATTTATTAAGCAGAATAAAGCACACGTTCTGAGCATCCATGGTGCTTACTGAGACAGCCCTGGCACACACACCCATGGGATGCTTACAAAAACCTTAGCTTCTCCACAATGGTCTCTCAATATATCCTGTGGAACAGGTGCTCGTCAGATGCCTGGAGATTGTCTTTGGATGCCAGGGGTGACACAAGAAGCCAGATTAGCCTCATCCTTAGTGCATTCCCTCCTGTGAGAGTGAACAGTTTAGATGTAGGATCCATGCTTGCACTAGCTCTCTTGGTTTTTATCTCTGGTATGTAGGACCTACAGTATTTATGTACTCAACTCAGCAGATGATAAGATGAAGTTCACAAAATTTAGCAAGCAACCGGTGCCTGAACAGACAAGCAGCAGGAGACATGAGAATGCTAATGACAGCTTGCCATTAAGCTGCCTCTCATGAGGAGAGTTACCGATATACCATCTAGAAAACCATGATCGCTGCTCACTTACCACTACATCTCAAATTCCTGCTCTTTTAGCATAAAGCACAGCCCCAGGCCCTCCCCCTGTGTGACCTCTGGCTCACCCTGCACAGGTGAGTACAAAATGAGACTTCTCTTTGATGCACATGCTGTTTTATTCTCTTACTGCACAGTTTTTGTAAAATATGCCTTCAGTTCAGCATTGCTCCCTAGTAAGTCACAGTGCCTCTCTCATGACAGCCACTAATCTGAATAATTATTCTGATAGCCAGAGGTCAGCCCAATGACCACACTTGGCACCTGCTGTAAATATACTTTCAAAAACCAAATGATACATTTTGTTCATGTATATTTATTCTTTGTAAAGGAACTTTTAATTAATTCAATTAAATGTGCCAATCCTTCCTTGTCTTTCCTAATTTTCAGCATCAAATCATTGTTACACTTCTAGGACCATGAGTGTTTGCCCCAAGACAGGGCAGATTAGAACAGCGACTGGACAGCACAGCTGGGTGAATGACACCATGATTCTGGTGCAGGTGGTTCCTGGAGGACTACCTGATTTTTTTTAAAGATTGATTTTATTTTTATTACAAAGTCAGATATACAGAGAGGAGGACAGACAGAGAATAAGATCTTGTATCCAATGGTTCATTCCCCAAGTGACTGCAACAGCCAGAGCTGCACCAATCCAAAGCCAGGAGCCAGGATCTCCAGGTCTCACATGTGGGTGCAGGGTCCCAAGGCTTTGGGCCATCCTTGACTGCTTTCCCAGGCCAAAAAAAAGGAAACTAGATGGGAAGTGGAGCTCTCAGGGTTAGAACCAGCATCCATATGAGATCCCAGCACATTCAAGGTGAGGACTTTAGCCGTTAGGTCAAGGCACCCAGCCCAGGACTACCTGATTAAAGCAGGTATACCTTCCTCTGCAGCTCCATTTATGGAGCTGCCTCTGTGAACCAAATCCCACAAGTAACCCAGGGTTTCTGCTGGAATACAGGACACTCCACACCAGTGGAGACCTTGCCTCATCACGGCTAGGTTTTGTCTCATCTTCTTGGAGAGAGGAGCCATTCATTTCAGTCTTTGTGTTATCCCATATTGTTCCTGCCTATAGGAGACTGGAATAAAATCTAAACAAACTTCAAGTCATGATTACAAAAGAAAATCAATTCCCACTTTTCACTTTGTTCTTTTTCCATCAAGCTTCCCCAATGGGCATTTGTTATATTCCAGCAGTTGCACAGAGGAGTGAGGGGTCCATGTGTGTGCCATCATGATCTGTGTCACTGACAAGAGTCTCCTGCGGTAGCCCACTTCATCTTACAATGAGCTCTTTAACTTCCGTATTGAAACTATGGAACACCTCTTCTTTTGAAAGAAGAAAGATTAGTGTAGTTTGGATATCTGTGGAACTTCACCAGGGGAGAAAAACATAGGCAAGATGTCACAACTACAGAACCGTACTTCATAGAAATAAGGAATTAAAAAGTTCATAGAAAAATAGAATTAAAATAAAACTTATTTTGGAACAAAAATTACAAAATTTGTATAGTTTCTTATGGTATGCATTTTCCATGAACACTTTGAGATCCTTCATATGGATGAACTTCAAAGTATTTATGCACCAAAATAACTGCATCTTATCAATCAATTCTATGTTGACGTATCTTAGAACACATATCTACTAAAATTATTGTAGTGATAGTAATTACTAATAATTCTGAAACATTTAATGTCATCCAACCACTGCAGATGCATGAGCTCAGTTGTAAACCCCAAGCATATAATTCCAGTTATTTAATCTTTTATACACAGGATACAACCGAGACACAGCCTAAGCCTAAATTGGTAAATGTTGCAATGATGATTTGACCCCAGGGAGCCTAACAATAGAGAAATCAAAACTGGCATTTTTCACTTAAAAACCATATTAGGAACATATTTCCTTATCACTAAAAATGACATGAGTCTGTGACATTTTTAAATGGCCATGAAATATTTTGCTGTAAGACTGAATAGTAACTCATTCACCCACTCTTCTATAGCAAGATAATCAACTATTTCAACTTCAAGAATTCTATGATGTATACACTTGAAGTAAAATCTTTGCTCGCCAACCGAATGAATGGGTTAGAACTTAATTAAACTGCTAACAGTCCTTGTATTTATGACATACTATTTCTTAGCAAGCTGCATTTCTTAATCCTGCGCCTGTCCTGTAGGAGTCTGGATCCATGTTGTATGGGAGTTTGGTGGGGAGGGGGGGACCACATTTTCTTTCCACAACTTCTCACTGGTTGCTGATTAGTCCATTCCTGAGCATGTGCTTGATACTGCAGGAAGAACCAGGCCTCCCAGTGTGTGGACTCGGTTTGGTGCATGTCCTGGTCTTGGTCTTCCACAAGCAAAAAAAAAGTCACAATCATTTTTGAGGTTGCTATCAAATATCAGAAAGATTTCCCAAAGATAGTTTCTTGAAATAGTGGTTTCCAAATTCATTTTAAAACAGTAATAGCACACTCCCCCATTAAATTTATTTGTGCAGCTATTGTGAATGGGGTTGATCTTAGAAGTATTTTCTCAGCCACAGCACTATGTACGCAATGCTATTGTTGTGTGTTCATTTTATTCCGTGGAACTCTATCAAACTCTCTTACGAGTCCCAATCATCTCTTAATGGAGCCCTTTGGTTTCTCTATATCCAAGAGCATGTCATCTGCAAGCAGAGACAATGTGACTTTCTCCTTTACAATTTGAATTTCTTTGTCTTGCCTACTGGCTCTGAGTAAAACTTGCAGAACTACATTGGATAGCAACAGTAAATGCATTAGAATGAAGTTCAAGAATGTAAAAGATCTCTACAATTGAAAATCAAAGGAAGAAATAGAAGACAAACACACAAAAAAGGAAAAAAAATCCCCCATGTTCATGCGTTAGGAAAATTAATGTCATCAAATTTCCCATAGTACCCAAAGCAATTTATGTATTCAATGCTATCCCAATAAAAATACCAAGGATATTCTTCTCAGATCTAAAAAGAAAAAAAAAATGATGTAAAGTTAATATGGACACAGGAGATCCCAAATAAACAACACAAACTAAAGCAATTAAAACAAAGCCAGAAGCATCACAATATCAGATTTCAAAAGACATGCTACAGGGAAGTCATAATCAAAACAGCCTGATACAGGAACAAAATTACAAATGAAGACCAATGGAAGTGAAGAGAAACCCCAAGAATTAATCTATCCAGCAACAGCCAATCCATGGCAAGTGAGCTAAAAACACTTAAACAAAGGACAGTTTTATCCAAGAATATGATGGAGAAGTTGGATCTCTGCATGCAGAAGTATGAAAAACTACCTTACACTTTATACAAAAATGAAGTCACAAGAATTAAGGATCTAAATCTATGACATGGGCCCGGTGCGGTGGCGCAAGTGGTTAAGGTCCTCGCCTTGCACGCCCAGGATCCCATATAGGCACCGGTTCTAATCCCGGCAGCCCCGCTTCCCTTCCAGCTCCCTGCCTGTGGCCTGGGAAAGTAGTCGAGGACAGCCCAAGGCTTTGGGACCCTGCACCCGCGTGGAAGACCCAGAAGAGGCTCCTGGCTTCGGATCAGCATAGCATCAACCGTTGCGCTCACTTGGGGAGTGAATCATCGGACGGAAGATCTTCCTCTCTGTCTCTCCTCTCTGTATATCCGCCTTTCCAATGAAAAAATAATAAAAATAAATCTTTAAAAAATAAATAAATAGGAGACCTCTTCCACCACTACTGGTCTCCTGTCGGTGTCTGATTCCCTGACCCTCGCCGTGTCCATGCCACTGGCCAAGCTGGCCGGTACAGGTGGCGCCTAACGTGGGGCATGGCACGGCACGGCATGAACATCTGAGGCACCCCTGGACCTGCAAAGGGTGAAGCAACACGCAAGCACTAGGACCTTGCAGAATCCAGCCGGCTATGGCGTCTCGGTTCACAGCCCGCGTTCGGATGCTGCTTCTGCAGGCTGTAGGTTTTCTCATCGGCCTAGTAGGCCGAGCAGCTCGAGCTCTAGGCAGTCCTAAGTTTGACTCAAGGACCACCCGTCCCGTGACTGAACCATTGCTACTTCTTCGGGGGTGCAGTTGGCCAAGCTGATCAGACAGAGAAAGGTGAAATGTATAGATGTCATTCAGGCTTATATCAAGAGAATCAAGGATGTAAACCCAATGATCAATGGAATTGTCAAGTACAGGTTTGAGGCAGCTGAAGAGGAGGCTCATGCTGTAGATCAAAAACTAGCAGGTAAAGAGGAAGATGAAGCCACTCTGGAAAAGAAATGGCCATTTCTTGGGGTTCCTTTGACGGTAAAGGAAGCTTTCCAGCTACAAGGAATGCCCAATTCCTCTGGCCTTGTGAACCGCCGTGAAACCATTTCCAAAACAGATGCCACTGTGGTGGCATTACTGAGGGAAGCAGGTGCCATTCCCCTTGGAATGACCAATTGCAGTGAGTTGTGCATGTGGTATGAGTCTAGTAACAACATCTATGGTCGCTCCAACAACCCTTACGATTTGCGGCGTATTGTAGGTGGAAGTTCTGGTGGTGAGGGCTGTACCCTGGCTGCTGCGTGCTCAGTGATTGGTGTGGGCTCCGATATTGGTGGTAGCATTCGCATGCCAGCTTTCTTCAATGGAGTTTTTGGACACAAACCCTCCCCAGGTGTGGTTCCCAATAAGGGTCAATTTCCTGTGGCTAGGGGAGCACAGGAGAAGTTTCAGTGCACAGGTCCAATGTGCCGCTATGCGGAAGACCTGACCCCCATGCTGAGAGTCATGGCAGGACCTGGAATAAAAAAGTTAAAACTAGATGCAAAGGTTAATTTAAAAGACTTGAAATTTTACTGGATGGAGCATGATGGAGGCTCATTTTTAATATCCAAGGTGGATCAAGACATCATTGAAGCAATGAAAAAGGTTGTGGCTCACCTTGAAGATGTTCTAGGAGCCTCAGTTCAACATGTCAAATTGAAACAAATGAAGTATTCTTATCAGTTGTGGATCACAATGATGTCAGCAAAGGGACGTAATGGGGAGGAACCTGTGAAATTTGTGGATCTGCTTAGTGACCATGGAAAGCCCATCAACCCTCTGTGGGAACTGGTCAAATGGTGCATGGGTCTGTCAGTTTACACTATCCCCTCCATTGGGTTGGCTTTGTTGGAGGAAAAACTGAAATATGACCATGAGAAATACATAAAATTTAAGGCATTGGAAGAAAGTCTGCATCAAGAGCTGGTGGGAATGCTAGGTGATGACGGTGTGTTTTTATACCCCTCACATCCCACAGCGGCTCCAAAGCACCATGTTCCTCTGACAAGACCTTTCAATTTTGCCTATACAGGTGTCTTCAACGCCTTGGGTTTGCCCGTGATTCAGTGCCCATTGGGTCTGAATGCCAAAGGCCTCCCTCTAGGCATCCAGATTGTAGCTGGACCATTTAACGATCACTTGACCCTGGCTGTGGCCCAGTACTTTGAGAAATGTTTTGGGGGGTGGGTCTGCCCTGGAAAGTTTTAGGACATTCCTTAAAAACAAGTTGTATGTATGTGCGCTTGTGTGAAATTACGCTCTAGCAGGCTGTAGATAAAAAGCAAGTGGGGAATTCATCCACACTCTCCAGTTATACTTTTGAATTTTTATTTTCTGCACTAATTACAGTTCTAACTAAAATGTGACTATCTGATTCCTGCCTTTACTTCACTGGAGAATACAGAATTGTAAATAGACAAATACAGTATAGTTTCTTATATGCTGTAATGATATCTATTTTGTATACAGGAGGGAGATCAGAGGAGGAAAGACTTACTGTTTTGAGAGATGTTAAGATACTTTTTAGAGTAGATGATGCTTAAAGCGGTGACAGTCTTGCTTTCCAGGATGATCATGGTATAAAGGAACTTCAGTTAGAAGAAATAAAGTGATGAGTGATAAGGCAAAGTACAAGACTACACGCTGATTGTGCCACAAATTAGTATGACTAATTGGAAGTTGGGGGGTGGTAATTGAAGTAATACTATTACAAAAAAGAAAATCTCCTAATGTTAGAGAAAAAAATTTAAAGGTATTTTGATCTATCGGAGAGCCCAATCAAAATGATGAAACATAACACCCAAATTTTTACTTTCAAATACCATTTTACAATAAAAGGAACTGAAGTTTCTTTGAGAAAAAGCTGGCTTCAGGATTGAGTAAAAAATTCATAAGCTTAGAATAGATATTATCCCTCAACTTAGGAAATGCAAGCAAACTAAGGATGCTAAGTGGGTGTTGGTGGTGCAGTGGTGAGCATAGCTGTCTTCCCTAATAAGGATGATATGTAAAAATCTCAGGACAAAATTTAAAAATGGAAAATTGAAGCAATTGTAATACTAAAGTAAAGTAGCCTACAGTTATTTATAATTTAAATTAAGAAAAGTATCAGGAGATAAATGGATAGTTGAAAGATTGAAATATGATGGCAAAATGAATACTTTCCTAATTTCATACATGTACGTGAATATATATATGTGTGTGTGTACATTGAGTCATCAGTGGATGCTAAAACAATTGAAGCTCTTTGAGAAGCAGCTTTACTTTAGACTCAAAATATTTTCTTACATATGATCTATCATTTACAAAAGAGTGGTTCTTTTAAAATGGAAACATACAGTAGGCAAAGTTTTGATAAAATTATCACAATTTAGATTAATAGAGTAAATGAATATCACATATCTTCTTTACATGTACTGAGAAGAATGTATTATTACTGTTGTGGTGTTTTTTCCAAAAAATACCATCACTTGAATCTAATGATAAGAAGGCACTAGACAAATACCTTTTAGAAGTATTTCACCAAATTAAAGGCTTATGACCTTCAAAATTGTCAGGGAATTAAAGATTGCAAAAGGGCTTAGAGTAATAATTTCAACAAAATGGAAAGGTAGGCACTAGCAGGTTTCATATCCCTCCCCTCACGTGGAGAAGGCAAAATGGACAAGTCTCTAGTAAAAACATGTTGCCCCTAGTATCCTAGAACTTGAAATTTTAGCAGTTGTGCCAGAGAGCAAAAACTCCCAACAGACACAAAGAATTATTTATTGTGCTTTCCCCATTGTTGACATGGTGTTATATGTAGAAATATTGGGAGCAAGGTGTTATTGTAATCTTGACCTGTATTTATGGAATGTATAAAATCTATTATCTTTATATTAATAAAAGTTTTAAAATTATTTTTTAAAAAAATAAATAAATAAATAAATAAATAAATCTATGACATGACACTTTCAAATTGCTAGAGGAAACCATCAGCGAAACTAGGCAAGACACAGATACAGGCAAAGACTTCTTGGAAAAAAGACCCTAGAAGTCCAGACAGTAAAATCAAAAATAGACAAATGGGATTGCAGGAAGCTACGCTTCTGTGCAGCAAAGGAAACACAACAAAGTGAAGAGGCAAGTGACAGATGTAAAGAAAATGAGTGAAAACTATGCAGTTGACAAAGAATTAATACACAGGATCTATAAAGAGCTCAAGAAACTCAACAACAGAGCAAACACTTGAACTAAGAAATGGTCAAAGGACATGAACAGGCCTTTTCCGAAGTTTGAACTTCAAGGAGACAACAAACACATAAAAAAAAAAAAGAGAGACATGGGATTACAACCCATCAGAGAAATGCAACAAAAATCACAAAGAGATTTCAGTTTAACCCCAAGTAGAATGGTAGCATTCAAAAATATAAAAAATAAATGCATAATAAACGATAAACACCAGCAAGGATATATAGAGCTGGGTACCCTAATCCATGGTCAGTACTAATTCCTCAGAGATTCCTCAAAAATCTGTAAAGAAATCCAACCATCCCACTCGTGGGACTTTATCCAAAGGAAATGAAATTGGCATACGAACAAGTTATCTGTACCCCAGGTATATTTCAGCTCAATTTGAAATAACTAAGATACAGAATCAACCCAAATCTCTGTCCATCAACTGATGACTACATCAACAAAATATAGATACATTATGATGCATTATTCAACCACTAAAAAAGAACTAAGTCAGTTCCAAATAGATAATCCTATTGCTATAACTCTATCATATGCTCCCTTGGAAATGTGGCAATTGAGATAGAATACAGAAAAAAGTGTGTGAGTGTGAAACTAGCATATTGTACCATGACTGTTTTGAACCACTGTTTGTATTTCTGGAGAACCGTGCTCGTCCCACTTTTTGCTTGTTGAATATTGTGATTAGTGATGAGTTAAACCAGTAACTATAGACTGAATTAAAAACATGTTCTTGTAAACACAAAAGAAAAGAGTGAAAGAAAGGCGGGTAGGGCTATAGGGCAGAGAAGGAAGGGAGGTTAACTTCTTACAACTGTTCTCATAAAGCACATTAAGCACTTTATATTAGCAAAATTTACAAAACAGTTACAGAATTGTTTTTTCAAAAATGACCTAAATGCACCCCCTCCTAATAAATAGCATTTGCATGAATTTATTTTACAAACACACATTTTAATATTCACTTATCATCAAGTCAAAAAATAACTGCAGATCTTTTATAGTAAGCAAACTATTTGGAAACAAAAAAAAATCTGTGACCTGTAAGCATCTCTGTATCCATCTTATTTCTACTTTGCTTTGTTATTACAGTATTTATAAAACTTTTACACTACAAAGGGAAATACCTTTTCATAACTTACTATGAACCTCTGAGTACTATTTCATTAACACATGCAGACACTGGAAAAAGGACTAAATAAGAAAACTAAATTACAGCCATGTTCTTAAATATTTTAACAAGCACCAGCATTACACATAATTTTTTAAATCCCAACGACTGCAACTATTTATACTAAACTATTACAAATATAAATCATACTAATTCTTCTATTTATTACAAAAAAATAACTAGACCTCTGCTAATATAAGCATTACTGAAATCAATTCATCCATTCAAGTCCAGCAGGTGTATGATGTAGAAATTTACTTGCCCAAACAATTTTATATGCACTGACATAGACAAGCCTGAGTTGTTATAAAAAAAAAAAAACCCAGGTTCAGAATTCTACCTTCCCCCCGCAAGCTCACACCTTCATTTGTAATTCACATGAGAGAGAGCCCAGGTTCACTGAGAGTTAAACAGTGGCCAGGTCATGCAGAAGTCCATCTCTCTCATTAGATTCTGAGTCCTGGGTGGTCCATGCTACCAGTGTTGCTTGTTGAGAGGTTCTTGGTGGTACAGAATCAAGGCTTACATGCCCTGTGTATGAGCTTACTTAGAATTGCTGGACATAGAGTATGCAGTCTCCCAAGTGGTAGTCAGTGATCCTCGCCTGGGCCCACAAATGCTACGTGTTAACTGGATTGCACAAGGCACAAAGATGGAGGAAAGCAGAGGACTGGTGGGAAGAATACTCTGATGAAATCTCAAGGAGACGCAGACTGGCGATGCTGCCTCCCAACAGTGGGATAGCATCCCAGGGTCAGTTTTTGGGGTGGTTGCATGAGCATTAAGAGCCATTACACCTCCCCAAGATCCGTCTAACATCCTGATTCTGTTTTAGTCAGATGGTCACAGAACCAAAGATTTTGTGTTTTCCAAATGTTCTGTTGGTCAGCTTTTTGCTAGCTATTATGAAATACCCAAAGTAGGCTACTTTGCAAAGAAGTCTATTTTGGCTCATAATTCTGGAAGTTTGTCATCCAACATCAAGTGGTAGCATCTGACTTGGCCTCTGTTCTTGAAGGTAGTGTCCCAGCATGGTCCTGAGCATTACATGTTACAAGGACAAGGTGAGGGCGCATCTCGGCCTATGTGGTCTTTCTGTCTGGACAAAGCCATAAAAGATTGAAACAAGGCATCTATAATCTAACAACTCAACCAAATAAGCTAGTCCCCAAAGACCCAATCCCTAACCACTGCAAGTGGATTAAGATTTCCCCTCTACAGATGCTTAAGAGAAGACTACTAGTTCAGAGGGACATTCAACCACATGATAGGCTATATTCACAGCAATAAAATCAATATTTGAACATAGTCTAATGAGAAGATGCCATACTTCTTTCCCCTAAGTTCTATTTTTTTTTAGAATTTTTACAAGATTTATTGGTTTTACTTCTTTTTAATTGGAAACGCAGAAAGACAGAGAGGAAGAACTCCTGTCCACTGGTTCACTCCCCAAGTGACTGCAGTGACTGGAGCTGAGCCAGGAGCCAGGAGCTTCTTCCAGGTCTCTCACACAGGTGCAGGGTCCCAAATCAACCTCAACTGCTTCCCTAGGCCCCTAGCAGGGAGCTCAATGGGAAGTGGAGCAGCTGGGACACGAATCAGTACCTATATGGGATCCTGGCACATGTAAGGTAAGGATTTAGCCAAGAGGTCACCATGCCAGGCTTCCTAAGTTCTATTTCTTCAATCTCAGATTCTAATACTTTTTCCACTATCAAATAGATATTTCTTTACAACCATCTTAACTACCTGCCCCCCAACTCCTTCACAATGCAGAGCCCTGCAGGGCAGAGACTTCCAGTGTGAATGTTGGGCAATAAAGCACAGAGTTGTTCATGTCGAAGACACCAATCGTTAAACCCATCAGTACTAATGACACCCATAATTAAGT